CAAAATATTAAAATACAGTAATCTGTTAAACATTAAAAGCTTCCCTAAACAGGGCTGCCTTCAGAAGTCTTCTAAAAGTCTGGTAGTTGTTTTTCTCTTTGACATCCGGTGGGAGGGTGTTCCACAGGGTGGTGCCACTACCAAGAAGGCCCTCTGTCTGGTTCCCTGTAACTTGGCTTCTCGCAGCGAGAGAACCGCCAGAAGGCCCTTGGCGCTGGACCTCAGTGTCCCGGCAGAATGATGGGAGTGGAGATGCTCCTTCAGGTTTACTGGACCAAGGCCATTTAGGGCTTTAACGGTCAGCACCAACACTTTGAATTGTGCTCGGAAACGTACTGGGAGCCAATGTAGGTCTTTCAAGAGTGGTGTTATGTGGTCTTGGCAGCTGCCCCCAATCACCAGTCTAGCTGCCGCATTCTGGATTAGTTGTAGTTTCCGGGTCACCTTCAAAGGTAGCCCCATGTAGAGTGCATTGCAGTTGTCCAAGCGGGAGATAACCAGAGCATGCACCACTCTGGCTAGACAGTCCGCGGGCAGGTAGGGTCTCAGCCTGCGTACCAGATGGAGCTGGTAGACAGCCGCCCTGGACACAGAATTGACCTGCACCTCCATGGACAGCTGTGAGTCCAGAATGACTCCCAGGCTGCCTTAGCTAAAATCCATGCATTGTGAGGGGGCTGGAAGAGATTACTCTGGGGGTCCCTTCCAGCTCCACAGTTCTATGATTCTATGTGACTCTTAGCTCTGAGAAGTGGAAGAATCCATCTTGCCTGCAGGACGCAGTTCTGTTCAGCCCCAGCTGTCAAGAAGCATCAAGCCCTTGTTATCTCGCACAAGTAGCTCTGGGAAGTCAGAGGCTTCTGGCAACCTGAAATATCCAAACAGCCTCAGTGAGGAGCGTTGCTCTTTCATAGGCACATTACAGGGAATGAATACTTGTAAGATGATATGTATTTAAAAACAGGCTGCATTCAATAATGAGGGAAATGAAGAGGACCACTTTACTAATTAATTTACACCTTGTCTTTCAGCTCTGTTGGGGTAGGTCTGAAAAGGCAAGTGTGACTTTATAGTGTGACTTTCTGTTCTGCTTTTGAAAACCTGGGTGGGTGGATGATCTGATTTTATATTTAACAGATCAGTAGATCACCGGGTAGATGATAGATGATAGATAGATAGATGATAGATAGATAGATAGATAGATAGATAGATAGATAGATAGATAGATAGATAGATAGATAGATAGATAGATAGATAGATAGATAGATAGATATAGATTGATAGATGATAGATGATAAATGATGATAGATGATAGATGATGATAGATGATAGATGATGATAGATGATAGATGATAGATGATAGATAGATACAGTGGTGCCCCACATGACGAATGCCTCGCAAGACGAAAAACTCGCTAGATGAAAGGGTTTTCCGTTTTTTGAGTCGTTCCGCAAGACGAATTTCCCTATGGGCTTGCTTCGCAAGACGAAACGTCTTGCGAGTTCTTGCGAGTTTGTTTCCTTTTTCTTAAAGCCGCTAAGCCGCTAATAGGCGTGCTTCGCAAGACGAAAAAACCGCAAGACGAAGAGACTCGCGGAACGGATTAATTTCGTCTTGCGAGGCACCACTGTAGATAGATAGATAGATATAGATAGATAGATATAGATAGATGATAGATAGATAAATAGATACATAAATTTATAACGGTCGGAGACCAGCTTCTAAAACACACTTGGGGGTACAATCCCAGAAGGAAAGCAAACATTTAAAACAATGTACAAAAATAAATTTAAAATTTAGAAATGCGATAAGCATAAGGTAAAAGGTAAAGGGAACCCTGACCATTAGGTCCAGTCGTGACCAACTCTGGGGTTGCAGCGCTCATCTTGCTTTACCGACCGAGGGAGCCGGCGTGCAGCTTCTGGGTCATGTGGTCAGCATGACTAAACCACTTTTGGTGAACCAGAGCAGCACATGGAAACGCCGTTTACCTTCCCACCGGAGTGGTACCTGTTTATCTACTTGCACTTTGACATGCTTTTGAACTGCTAGGTTGGCAGGAGAAGGCACTTAGCAACAGGAGCTCACCCCGTCATGGGGATTCGAACCGCTGACCTTCTGATCGGCAAGTCTTAGGCTCTGTGGTTTAACCCACAGTGCCACCCGTGTCCCTGCGATAAGCATATAGACACTTAAAACTTTAAGATAAGCTACCACAGAGAGATGACTCAGAGTCACCCATGGAACCAAGTTTGGGGATTTTCTTAGCAAACTAGTTTGGGTTGGGGGATGGTCTGCTCCTACAGATCTGTACACAGAATTTGGCGAACATCCAGGTCATCTTATGATCTTTGCCTAACAGGAATAGATCACTGAGTATTTGACTGCTGAAGTCAAATGTGCATTGTATGTGCATTGTAAAAATAAACCTAAGGGCTGAAAAATACTTCAGCATCAATGAAAAACAGGGATGGGGAATTTATTGGTTAGCTCTAACCACCAGTAAATTCTTCCTGATGTTGAGTCAGAATTTCCTTTCTCGTAACTTGAAGCCATTGGTTCGGGTCCTACCCTCCAGAGCAGGAGAAAACAAGTTTGTGGCAGCCCTTGAGATATTTGAAGATGGCTATCATATCTCCGCTCAGTGTTCTCTTTTCCAGGCCAAACATACCCAGTTCCCTCAACTGTTCCTCACAAGGCTTGGTTTCCAGAATCTTCATCACATACCCCCAACCCTCAACATTTTCACTTCGCCTAACTTCTCCAGAAAAGTAATGTACACAATACACACACACACACACACACACACACACACACAGAGAGAGAGAGAGAGAGAGAGAGAGAAATGAATTATTCTAGGGAAACTTGTTTTGTATAAATAAGAATTGTGTAGAAAAATGTATATCAGGGGTCAGCAAACTTTTTCTGCAGGGGGCTGGTCCACTGTCTCTCAGACCTTGTGGTGGGCCAGACTATATTTTGAAGAAAAAAAATGAACAAATTCCTATGCCCCACAAATAACCCAGAGGTGCATTTTAAATAAAAAGGCACATTCTACTCATGTAAAAACACGCTGATTCCCGGACTGTCTGTGGGCCGGATTGAGAAGGCGATTGGGCCACATCCGGCCCCCAGGTCTTAGTTTGCCGACCCATGATATATATCGGGGTGGCCAACTCCCAAGAGACTGTGATCTACTCACAGAGTTAAAAACTGTCAGTGATCTACCCCCTTTTTGGGGTTCAGGTCACAGTTGTTGAGCCAGGGATCTACCAGGGATCTACAATAGACGTCCAGTGATCTACCAGTAGATCACAATCTACCTGTTGGACGTGCCTGAGGTATAGCAGAAGTTTACATTATGCTGGTGAATTTTCAGGAAGACTTTAAAAAACAACCAACCAAATAAACAAACACACAGACTTATGAGCAAATGCAGAGAACTGCACGTAAGACTGGAAAAAAAGAGAAACCAACACTGACAGATTCACCCCTCTGTAACTGAACCTGTGCTCATTCTTCTATAGTTGTACCTCTACAAGTTTGCAAAGAGGGTGGAGAGATACAGTGGTACCTCGGGTTAAGAACTTAATTCGTTCTGGAGGCCCGTTCTTAACCTGAAACTGTTCTTAACCTGAAGCACCACTTTAGCTAATGGGGCCTCCTGCTGCTGCTGCCCTGCCGCCATGCGATTTCTGTTCTCATCCTGAAGCAAAGTTCTTAACCCGAGGTACTACTTCCAGGTTATCGAGTCTGTAACCTGAAGCGTATGTAACCTGAAGCGTCTGTAATCTGAGGTACCACTGTACATCACTTTCTATCAAATCAGCACAATATAAAGGGTGCCTTGCTTGCTAATCACAATGGATACCTGTGGGGTGAATTTGGCATCTCTCTGGTAAATGTGCTTCCCTGCCCAGAACAAATTGAAATTGGATCACAAAATCTGCCAGTTTCTGAACTAATATCTGCCAGCGCTGTGAAGAAACCAATATGTGTTTTCCTGGCTTCCGAAAGGTAGACCGACGTTTTGCTCCCAGCTAAGACTCCAAATGACTCAAGGCACTCATCACGCAATGAGTCAGAAATAATAACATTTGACTTTGCAGTGGCTCATCAAGAATAACGAAGCCCATGGAATTCCTGCGTGTGCCTCTTCTAGGTTGCAGTGCTTGGAATTGCAAATATAGGATGCAGCAACCTTTGCCAACCTGATGTCCTACCAAGGTTTTCAACTGCAATTCCCATCAGCCTCAGCTGGTATAGGTGTTTTGCTTGGGGCTGACGGGAGTTATAGTTTGAAATTTCTGGAGGGTGCCAGGATACTCTATATAAAAGGGTTGCCAGCCACTCAAAATTTACATGAAATTGTCAACTATTTCAGAAGCCCTGTCTAAAATAAGTAGAAAACTTACTCCTAGGGCTGCAGCATTTAAATGATTTTTTATTAATACATTTCTTTTTAAGTAAACTCCAAAGATGATCCAAAATTCATTTTGATTGCTTGCAAAAATGTGTATTTTAGCTAATACTGCTTGCAAAATGGTATATATTAGGAGAAATGTACGCTAAAATGCTTATTATTATTATTATTTCATAATACAAGGAGCAGGCAGCCATTGCCGATCGCACCGCCTCCGGAAGTCGTTGTTTAAAAACACAAAAATGCATACCATGATGAATTTTCATGACGACTTGTTTTTAAAAATTGTAAGCTACTGCAGGAATATGGAGAGGTTGGAAAAATGAGAAACTGAGGCACAACAAAATTGACAGAGTTGTTCATCTCTGCTTCCAGTCCTAATCTTCCTCTTTTTATATTTTCAGAAGTGAGGCATTGAAAAGATCTTTGCTCTGAATCCTGTACTTACTCTAAAATGAATCTTGTTTCAAATCTTGACAGTGGGGTCCATTTTGACCAGTTGCTCCACTCCACCCTGGAGAGTAATATACATTCTTCCTGCTGGTTTCACGTATTTCCTCCAATTTGTATCCACAGTCTACGAAGTCGTGACGGTGACAGGAGACGTCCGAGGAGCGGGGACCGATGCCAATGTCTTTGTTACTCTCTTTGGAGAATTTGGCATCACTCCGAAAGCCCATCTGACCAGCAAGTGAGTCTCGCTGGGTATCTGTGAACTCAGCAGCTTTCTCTGCAGTAAGCTAAAATGAGAGATTTTGGTTTGCGACGTATCTTGATTCACTGATGGATGCAGCACATTCTAAATGCATGCAAAAATTTGAGCGACACCTGCATGTATAACCCGAACACTCACAGACCCATACATGTGTTAATCCTTTTGTTACCGCTGTTTTGAAATGTCCATTCAGAAGCCTTTTTCGCTTACCCCCCTCATCCCAAAACGTAAAAGCTCATCTAAAGCATATCCTGACAATTCCCTAGCTTTGCAGAAAGTGTACTATAGTTAACTGAGCCACTTAAAAGCGCATTGAAGTGCAGCAGGTGGTTATTGTCAATAGGCGAGACTGTGGTTTTGCATACCTGTTTTGAGGGAAAGATAAATTGGAATGAGAACATACGGGCTCGGTGCAATGAGGCGAGTTTGACATGTGTAGGCCTATTGCATAGTGACAAGTGAGCTGTGTGAATGGTAAAATGATTATATGTCCTGCTTGTCATGAAATTTAAGTACAGATTCAACAGACCCACATCCAAGCAGATTTAGGGGTATTGAAATATTGAAACACTTTATTGTCACTTGTACAACTTGTATACAGTGAGATTACACAAGCACCCCCCACTCAGCTCTCTTAGTCTTAATTCCCCTCGTTTACTGACGCACACCCACCAAACCCAAAAGTCACTTGCCCTGTTGTTATCTTTTCATTCAGCAGCCTAACAGCCCACAGATAGAAGCTGTTCTTTACCCTGTTGGTGCGACTAACCATGCTTCTATATCTTCTGACTGAGGGCAGGAGATCAAGAAAGTGCCGGCCAGGGTGTGAATCATCCCTGAGAATTTTCCTCACTCTCCTGAGGCAACGTTCTTCTGCTGTTTCATCCAGCGGATTCACGGGACAGCCCATAATATCTTGTGCTGTATTCACCACCCTCTGTAGGCACTTCCTATCAGTTGATGTCAAACCAGCGTACCACACCGTGATGCAGTATGAAAGGACACTTTGTGTTGTGGACCAGTAGAAGATCTGGGACGCGGGTGGCGCTGTGGGTTAAACCACAGAGCCTAGGACTTGCCGATCAGAAGGTCGGCGGTTTGAATCCCCGCGATGGGGTGAGCTCCCATTGCTCGGTCCCTGCTCCTGCCAACCTAGCAGTTCGAAAGCACGTCAAAGTGCAAGTAGATAAATAGGTACCACTCTGGCGGGAAGGTAAACGGCGTTTCCATGTGCTGCTCTGGTCGCCAGAAGTGGCTTAGTCATGCTGGCCACATGGCCTGGAAGCTGTACGCCGGCTCCCTTGGCCAATGAAGCGAGATGAGCTCCGCAACCCCAGAGTCGGCCACGACTGGACTTAATGGTCAGGGGTCCCTTTACCTTTACCTTAGAAGGAGATCTATTGTGTGAATCAAAAACTAGGGTGGCTGAGCCCCTAGGTTCTGAATCAGAAGATGTCACAATCATAGCATTAATGAAAAAGAGGGGTGGGTAATTTACAGAATCATAGAACTGTAGAGTTGGAAGGGGTTCTGAGGGTCATCTAGTCCAACCCCCTGCAATGCAGGAATCTCAGCTAAAGCATTCATGACAGATGACCATCCAACCTCTGCTTAGAAACCTCCAAGGAAGGAGAAACCACCATCTCGTCTGGGAGTCCGTCCCACTGTCGAACAGCTCTTAACGTCAGAAAGTTCTTCCTGATGTTGAGTCAGAATCTCCTTTCTGGTAGGGTTGCCATACAGTGGTACCTCGGGTTACGAACGCTTCAAATTACATTTTTTCGGGTTACGAATGATTGTAATCCAGAAGTAAGTTGTCCAAGCTCTCGGAGGCCTCGCCGCTGCCTGGAGGCAAACCCAGACATCGGCGGAGCCTACAGAGCTCTCTGAGGCCTCTACGAATGCTGGGAGCCAAGCCGATTGTGATTGGGGAAGAGGACCCTGAGCCCCCTCCAAACTGAGTTTGGAAATAAATTTTATTTTTTTTCCATCTAAAATACTGTCTTATTTATTTTATAGTACAGTACATTGATTATTGCCTTCATTTTATGGATCAATGGTCTCGTGAAAAAGTAAAATTCGTGTTAAATTGCTGTTTTAGGGGGTGTTTTTTCATCGTCTGGAACGGATCAATCCACTTCCCATTACTTTCAATGGGAAAGTCCGCTTCAGGTTAAGAACGCTCCAGGTTAAGTACAGACTTCCAGAACCAATTAAGTACTTAACCTGAGGTACCACTGTATTTCGAAAAGTAAAAACCAGGACACCCCAAAAGTTGTTAAGCTTTTAAGGAACCCCCCCAAATTGTCCAGGACAAAATGCTGTCTTCCAGAGATTCCCCCTGGACATCACTTCGGTCCATAGCTGTCAACTTTCCCCTTTTTAAAGGGAAATTCCCTTATTCCGAATAGGATTCCTCTCAAGAAAAGGGAAAAGTTGACAGCTATGCTTCGGTCTTTGAAATCCCTGTAATGTCCAGGAAAATCCAGAAGTATGGCAGCCCTATTTCTTGTAACTTGAATCCATTGGTTGGGAACTGGAAAAACGAGCTTGCTCCATCGTCCATGTGACAGCCCTTAAAATGCAGCCTGCAACAAGGAAGATGGCTGGTACAGCGTTCAGATTTTCTACAAAGCGGTTTGTTTTCTTAATGGCCCCATAGTCCTAACGGAGAACGATCAACAGTACAATCCTACTGGTGTGTACTCAGAAGGAAGTCACATGGAGTCTTATGAGGCTTAGTCCCCGGTAAGTGGGTAAAGGATTGGCTTAAAGGACAAGCCAAACCTCACTTACTGGGAGTAAACCCCCTATACGGCCTAGGACCCTCGTACCTACGTGACCGCCTCTCCTGGTATGTCCCACAGAGGAACTTACGGTCTTCAAATAAAAGCATCTTGAAGGTCCCAGGCCACAGAGAGGTTAGGCTGGCCTCAACTAGAGCCAGGGCTTTTTCAGCTGCGGCTCCAATCTGGTGGAACGCTCTGTCACAAGAGACTAGGGCTCTGCGGCACTTGACATCTTTCCGCAGGGCCTGCAAGACAGAGCTGTTCCACCAGGCCTTTGGTCAGGGTGCAGCCTGACTCCCTCCTTTGGCAATCTTCACAGAACTTTAGCTTAATGGTTGCCATTAATTTGATTTTAATTAATTTTTATAATGAAATGTTTTTAGAATGTTGCACTATTTTATTGTTGTTAGCTGCCCTGAGCCCGGCTTTGGCTGGGGAGGGCGGGACATAAATAAAATTTATTATTATTATTATTATTGAATCCACTAGGACTTACTTATGAGTAGCCATGGCAAGGATTGCACTGTGAGGCTCCCATTCTTGTGTTGCGCCAGGTTCTCTACTATGCTTGATTGCTTTCAATGTTTCACTGAAAATGCTAATTTCATACCATAATGCCACATTTTCTCCATGTCTACAGCGCTGACAAGAGGTACCTGAAACTCTTTTAAGTTTCCCCCTCAAAAGACCTTCTTTCTCCAGTGAAGCAACTCAAACACGAAAACCTTATAAAGACAAATAATATGGGAATGGTAAAGGAAATGCATGAAATTTCAGGCCTCTTTGCCATATTTGAAACAACCTGGAGATGATTTCAGAATACTCAAACGCATTCAGTGCACCAAGTTGGCTCCTAGTACACTGTAGATGTTTCAGACCAGCTTCAGCTGGTGATGGGATAGAAATTTAGTTTTGTGTTCATTTCAACGAGAAACCACCGAATTCACACTCTTCAAACGAATGTGTGAGGTCAAACACAGGTATCCTTGAAATTTTGCATTTTTGTGAATGTTGCGTAACGGTTCTGCAACCGAACGTTGTGTACAAAAGTGCATATATTAGTGAAAACAACATAGAGAATTAATTAATTCAGGGGGACTTGTTTGCAAAAATGTGCATATTATTCAAAACTGCCTACAAGAATGGGTTTATTAGGAGAAATTTGCTGATGAATTTTCATGAGGGTTTTTCTTCTTCTTCAAAATAATAAATTGCTGCAGAGATGCGGAGAACTGTAGATGGGGAAAATGAGAAATCGAGACCATATTTGCACCAGACATTTAAAGCAATGTGTTACTATTTTAAACTATCATGGATTTGCAGTTTGTTAAGGGTGACAAGAGGAGTTAGGAGATCCAAAGTTCTCCTAATTCCCGGAATTCTCTGGAAAGAGGAACTCACTGCTAAACTCACTCTGTGAATTATAACTCTGTGAGAGGAATAGGGGTCCCCTAAGAACACTCATCAGCCTTAACAAACTACAGTTCCCATGATGCTTTGTGGGGGCATGAATTCTTAAAGTGGCATACTACTGCTTTAAATGTCTTCTGCAGACGGGGCCTGAGATAAAATGACAGATTCATCCACACACACTCCAGCTGCACAGCAGCGGCCATAACAACATGTTTCTTATTTTCATTTATTTATTTTGCATCATTTACATACTGCTTGATTGTAATAAAAAACCTCTAAGAGGTTTACAAAAACAAACAAACACACTAGAATTATCAGTGAAAGACAGTTAAAAAAAGATGATGAAAATAAACAGTAAGCAAAAAAAAAAAAAAAGAGAGATTAAAACATATGCCAGCATTCTACATAGGCTTTTCAAAGCAGAAAAAAAGAAGAAAATGGTTTTAAGCAATCACTGAAAGGAGTCTTTTTTTATTTTGCCATGTTGAAAAAGTACTTTCTCATGCATCTCCCAAATCTCTTCCCAGTCAGTTTCATTTATGACCCCAGAATGAGCCGTTAAGCATTCATGGCTAGGAATCTTGTTCAGCATTTGAAATTAACTCTCTCCTGACTTAAACCTGCAACTGCACTCCATCTTACCTTGCCAAATGTCACAAAAATAGCTTGCCATTCTTCCAAAACAGCTTCTCATTTGACCTTTTAAAATTCTTATTAATTGAATACCCTGTTTGATGTATTTATGCACCGTTTGATTGTAAAAACAACAGCCCTCAAAGCAGTTTACACAAAGATCAACCATAAAACCAGCAAACAATTACATTAAAGCAGTTAAAATACTAAAGCAGTTTAAAATTCACACCAGCGTTTCTGAAAAATCAGGAGTGAAGGCTTGTCTATCCAAGAATGTTTTTAGCAGGCACTGAACAGAGCAAGGCACCTGCTTGGTCTCAATCGGCAGGGAGTTCCGAAGTGTAGGTGCTGTCACACGAAATGATGGAGTTCTTACAAATGTGGAAGGGGTATTATGTGTCACCTGCACCAGTGCCAATTCTGCACTCAAGCAGGCAAATATGTGGCAAGGCGATCTCGTAGGTAAACTGGTCCCAAATTATTAAGGGCTTTGTATACTAATAGCAGAGGGACGCGGGTGGCGCTGTGGGTTAAACCACAGAGCCTAGGACTTGCTGATCGGAAGGTTGACGGTTTGAATCCCCGCAACGGGGTGAGCTCCCGTTGTTCGGTCCCTGCTCCTGCCAACCTAGCAGTTTGAAAGCACACAGTGCAAGTACCGCTCCGACGGGAAGGTAAACGGTGTTTCCGTGTGCTGCTCTGGTTCGCCAGAAGCGGCTTAGTCATGCTGGCCACATGACCCGGAAGCTGTACGCCGGCTCCCTCAGCCAGTAAAGCGAGATGAGCACCGCAACCCCAGAATCATCCACGACTGGACCTAATGGTCAGGGGTCCCTTTAACTTTATACTTATAGCAACGCCTTGAAATTAACCTGGGAGCAAATCAGCAACCGGTGTCGATCTCTGAGCACAGGTGTTATACGCTGACAAGGCGTCACCCCTCTCAGAAATCTCGCTGCAGCGTAATTGCTTTTCAGGGCTTCCCAATTCCCGTCCTTCTCTTCCCTGTGGTCTCCTCAAAAACAGAACAGAACAGAACAAACTTCACAGGCAAAACCAGAAGGACTTTATTCCTGCCTGTTAGCTCCAGCTAACATTTGACGGTAATAACTGATTCAACAGCAAGGGTTGCGAGAGAGCACGATGCCTACGCCCCGCTCCAAATTTGTCACGCTGTTCACGGAATATGGCAAAAGGATGGAATCTCATGCATCTCCCCGGCGGGCTGTTTTCGGAGCGTTGACGGATGATGCGCCTTGCGGAATGCATGACATTTGAGACCCCCTGTTTCGCTCCATGGCGCCGATTGCACAAAATGCCATGCATTTCCTCAAAGGTGGCACCTTTCTGGTTGCCACAAGGCTCTCTGCTTCTTTCCCTTTCACCACTGTGTGCTGCCACACCAGTGCATGGCAACGTCACCTCTGCATTTCGGCGACGCACTTCACAGAATGGTCACCACATGGCATGCTGAAGTCACATGAAACGTCTTTGCCATAGGTTCCCCCTTCGCCGCATAAACATACAGGAATTTGCATGTCTCTGTGTGTCATCAAAGACAAGAAACATCCATTCCAGAGGGCCCCGCAAAGTAGATTTCACTACCTGCTTCTGTTGCATCTATATTTTTATAGGTTGGGGTGGGGGCAAGTCAGTCCTGTCCAGGCCTGCCATCCAGTGAGGCTTAGAATTGATTGATTGATTGATTGATTGATTGCATTTATTCCCACCCTCTTCCTCCAAGGAGCCCACTGAGCCTTTTGGGCTTGCTGATCAGAAGGTCGGCGGTTCAAATCCCTGTGATGGGGTGAGCTCCCGTTGCTCTGTCCCAGCTCCTGCCAACCTAGCAATCTGAAAACATGCCAGTGCGAGTAGATAAATAGGTACCACTGTGGCGGGAAGGTAAAGGGTGCTCTGGTTTCCATCACAGTGTTCTGTTGTGCCAGAAGTGGTTTAGTCATGCCAGCCACATGACCCAGAAAGCTGTCTGTGGACAAACGCCAGCGCCCTTGGCCTGAAAGCAAGATGAGTGCCGCAACCCCATAGTTGCCTTTGACTGGACTTAACCGTCCAGGGGTCCTTTACCTTTTATATAGTTCTCTTCCCCCTCTCCACTTTATCCTCACAACAGCCCTATGAGGTGGGTTTGGTGCCCTGGCAATCTCCACTAGGGTTGCGGCAGGGCAAAGCATCTTCACCCTGGCATGTCCTCCACCGGGAATGCAGCAGGGCGAAGTGTCTTCGTAAAGGTCTTACCTTTACTTAAGGTGCTTTGCCAAGGTGGCTGGCAGTGGCTGGAGGATGGTGGGCCGAGTCAGCCTGGCTGGGTTGGGGGGGTGGCAGCATGCGTGTGATGTCACACACGTGTGACACCCCCCTCCATGTTGGGCACAACTCAGTGCCTCTGCCTAAGGCTGCAATCCTGTGTACAATTATCTGGGAGTAAAAACAACAGAACTTACTTCTGAGAAGGCACGCATAGGGTTGCAATGGAAGAGACTGAGCAGATGTTCAGGATGTTCCCTGGTTCAAATCTCACCTGTGACATGAACTCTCCAAAGTGAGAGTTTTGTCCTACACCTTAGATTTCCATGCATACCAACGAAAAGGTAATAGTATCCCCACTACTTCATGAAGCAAGCTGATCCTAGTTTCTGCACATTGTGGAACTTGTGAGAACACGGGATCAGCGTTTTCCCCCTAGGGCCAACTTTCCCTTGCTCTTCTCTTTCTTAAATTCCCGGCCTTCACTGTTCCTTGCTTCCTGCTTTTCTCCCCAGTAAGACCAGCTACTCTGGTTTGTAGCCAGCACTCTTCGATTGTCAGTACTCCTCTCCTCTTGACCGCGTCCTCCAATGTTGTCTTTCAATTTAAGAAACCAAAACACTGGGAGAAGCACAAGACGCACCCAGCGTGACCCTCAGTCCGAGGTGTCTGTCCCAGCCAAAATGACCCCTCACTTCCCTCAAGGGAGACTGACTGTGAGAATTCCGTGCTGCCTCTTTCATCCTCTCAGCCTTGGAATGTTCATGGACATTCTGATGCCTCCCACCAACTCAGCCAATAGGAGCCAGAGGCTTCATGGCCACCGCTGAGCATTACAGTAGATATTGGGAGCCCTCCCCCACACTTAGGTTCAAATTATCAGGTGATGAGTCAGCTGAGTGGTGCAAATGCATGTGCAGACCATCTGTAACGATCACTGTTAACCCCTGCTTTTCAATAACTGTGCTTTCTGGGGGCATGTGTATATTTCAGGAGCAGCTCTGCCTTTGAGAGGAGCAAAACGGATGTGTTTCGGGTGAGAACCAACAACGTTGGGACAATCAGGAAAATAAGGTATGGTAGCGGAGACACAGAATATTGGGTTCCCCTGAACCACATAGTCTTATCCAGGGGTTAGCAAACTTTTTCAGCAGGGGGCTGGTCCAGGGGGCGTGAGAGCCAGTGTGGTGTAGTGGTTAAGAGTCACGTAATCTGGGGAACCGGGTTCGCGTCTCTGCTCCTCCACACGCAGCTGCTGGGTGACCTTGGGATAGTCACACTTCTCTGAAGTCTCTCAGCCCCACTCACCTCACAGAGTGTTTGTTGTGGGGGAGGAAGGGAAAGGAGATTGTTAGCCAATTTGAGACTCCTGAAGGGGAGTGAAAGGCGGGATATCAAATCCAAACTCTTCTTCTTCTTCCACTGTCCCTCAGGCCTTGTGGGGGGCCAGACTATATTTTTTTGGGGGGGAAATTGAACGAATTTCTATGCCCCACAAATAACCCAGAGATGCATTTTAAATAAAAGGACACATTCTACTCATGTAAAAACACGCTGATTCCCTGACCGTCCGCTGGCCGGATTTAGAAGGCGATTGGGCCAGATCCGGCCCCTGGGCCTTGGTTTGCCTAACCATGGTCTTATCGGACAAATTCATGGGCTTTTAGCAATAAGGTGCATATCAGGTGCTGGAGTTATAGGCAGGCATGATGGCTTGCTAGCAGAGCTGGATTTAGGTTTGATGAGGTCCCAAGCTACTGAAGGTAATGGGGCCCTTTATATGTCCAGCTGTCCTTTGTCAGCAACAAATTGTCACTGTTTTGTGTTGAATATATGCCATATGGTAATTTATAGACCTAATAGGTATCTAAAGCCATTTGCCACTGTTGCTGTATGTAGGTTTTATTTCATTTGTTTTTTATCTTATATTTAGGAAATGTACATCCAGTTTTTTCCCCCCTTAAAATTTTTTTGGGGCCCCCAAGAGAGTGGGGCCCTAAGCTATAGCTTGTTTAGCTTATATGTAAATCTGGCACTGCTTGCTAGATAGAACAATTACTCTCTTCTCCCCATGCCCTGCTTCTTCCAAAACCCTGTGATCCAATTTGGGGGGGCACCCATGGGAGAAGAAAGCTACAGCGCACAAGCAGACGTCCTTGCACAGGGCCCCAGCCAAAATCCCCACTCAGCCCCAAATTCTTGACTTGAATTTCCCGCATTCTGTGTTGTCCCCAGGGATAAGCTATCTGAGCACATAAAAGGCATCACTTGGAATATAGAAATTTAGGAAGGGGCTTTAAACCAAGTAACACCATTGGTCCATCTGGGTCAGTATTGTTTTCTCTGATTGGCAGCAGCAGCTGTCCAGAGTTGCAGACAGGGATCTCTCCTGGCTCTCGAGATGCCGAGGATTGAATTTGGGGCCTTCTACATCCACAGCGAGATGCAGGTGGCGCTGTGGGTTAAACCACAGAGCCTAGGACTTGCCGATCAGAAGGTCGCCGGTTCGAAACCCCTGCAACGGGGTGAGCTCCCGTTGCTCAGTCCCTGCTCCTGCCAACCTAGCAGTTTGAAAGCACGTCAAAGTGCAAGTCAATAAATAGGTACCGCTCTGGCAGGAAGGTAAATGGCGTTTCCGTGCGCTGCTCTGGTTCGCCAGAAGCGGCTTAGTCATGCTGGCCACATGACCTGGAAGCTGTACGCCGGCTCCCTTGGCCAATAAAGCGAGATGAGCGCCGCAACCCCAGAGTTGGCCACGACTGGACCTAATGGCCAGGGGTCCCTTTACCTTTACCTTTTACATCCACAGCAGGTGCTCTAACACTGAACTACTGCCTTTCCCCTATAATGGCGCCACAAATCCTTTTGCCAAGACGAGTTTAAAATTATTGGAATTACGCAGAAACGTGAAAAAGTCAAATTTTTTTAATGTCGTTATTTACCAATCAAAGCTAATCAATTTAACCAATATATCTTTTGAATTCCCAAGTCACGTTACAATTTTTTTTAGCACCCCTCATTTTGGGAATCTGAAAGTGGAAAAATTCAGCACTCCGTACTGTTGAAAAATTCGAAAAATTCATCACTCCCTACTGTTACATTAAACGTGAAGGTGTGGCAAACCCCCCAAACCCTCGTCTTATACTGATTTGTGCAACAGAATTGAACATGACAACACAGGGATGAATGCCAGCTGGTTTCTGGATCGTGTGATAGTGACGGACATGAACAGGCCCCACCTCCGCTTCTACTTCCCGTGCAACAATTGGCTGAGCAAGGATGAGGGTGACGGACTCTATGTCAGAGATCTTATCGGTAGCCTTAACCCCATGGATGTTCCCAAAGGTATGTCATTCCGCAACGGGCTGAGCTTACGACTGTGCAGAACGGTGTCGAAATGGGGCCAGCTGATGCTGCTGCTGGTTATAAAGTGAAAGAATATGGTAATGATTTAAGTCTTGGGGCAATGATGCCGTCAAGAAATTTACAGAAGGCAAGGGAGAGCGGGTATAACAGCAGCAGCAGCAGCAGCAGCAGCAGCAGCAACAACAACAACAATTTATTATTTGTACCCCGCCCATCTGGCTGAGTTTCCCCAGCCACTCTGGGCGGCTTCCAACAAAACACTAAAATACAATAACCTATGAAACATTAAAAGCTTCCCTAAACAGGGCTGCCTTCAGATGTCTTCTAAAAGTTTGGTAGTTATTTTTCTCTTTGACATCTGGTGGGAGGGTGTTCCACAGGGCAGGTGCCACTACCGAGAAGGCCCTCTGCCTGGTTCCCTGTAACTTGGCTTCTTGCAGCGAGGGAACCACCAGAAGGCCCTCAGAGCGATGGAGGTGGAGATGCTCCTTCAGGTATACTGGACCGAGGTATGGTTGGGTTTCTGCCATGGGGTCACCCTCCTCCTCAAATTTATATCCCACGCTTCCTCCAAAGGATTTCAGAGCAGCAAACATGCCAATACTAAGACCGTACAATTAAAAATTCTAAAACAAGTTAAAAACAACTCTATGCCACAGGAGCGGCAAGGATCCTAATTGCTAAAAACTGGAAAGAAGAAACTGTGCCAACAAAAATGGAATGGCAAGGCAAGCTGTTAGAGTATATTGAACTGGCTACATTAACAGAGGCAATTAGAGATCACACTAGACAAGAGTTTCAAAAAGCATGGGGAAAATGCAGAGAATACTTCACAAAACAGTGCCCTAAAATACATACCAGGACTTGTTTCGATTAATGTCTGCAGGAGACTTTGTGGATATTTAAGTTACAATTAGAAAAATCTTAATAATTATTCATAAAGGAAACAGTTTATAAGAAGTAAATAAGGAGGCCAGATACAGGATAAAGGAAGTCTTTTATTTGGTTGTTTGTATTGTTGTATGTTATGCTCACTGTATGTTATGTTCACATTTAATGAGGGTGGGTTGTGTATTGGTGGGGTGGGGGGTTTATATTATGTTGTAAATAAAATTCCAATAAAAATTATTTAAAAATACTAAAAACAACTATATAAAAGCATTTAAAAATTCCTAAAAGCAACCATACTCAAACTAATAATTTCTGGGTTACCAGGGACAGGACCTTCAGCCTAGGTCAGCAGGACTGTTTTGCATTTTTCTCCTAAATGTTAACAGTGAGGGAGACTGGTGCAACTCATTAGGGAAGGCATTCCACAAGCAGGGAGCCACCACCAAGAAGGCCCTGCCATGAGTTACCACCAACCAGGCATGCCCCCAGTGGCCTCCCTTGCTGGTCATAGGTTCTGAGATGGTTGATACAGGGGAAGGCGCTCTGTTCGGAGCAAATGTGTGCCCAATCGCACTTCTTCAGGAATTGTTCTTTTCTGTGGTTTCCTTCAAGGATACATGTATTACAAACACTTGCATCCCTTCCAAACCAGTGAAATGCTCCCTGCTTCCCCCAAAGAATCCTGGAAATTTTAGCTTTGCTGTGGAGGATGCTGCGGATATCATTATTGGAAATGCTTCCCTGCCTTTTACAGAACTGTGGCTCCTAGCAATTCCCAGGGAAAGGGAATGAGCAATAATCCAGTGTGAAGTTTGCCGCAGTGTCGATCCATCATTTTACTTGCCGCCAACCAGGCAGGTGGCTCACAAGCAACGCCAGCAATCTTACCATGTGGAGCATGTTACATAGGTATATGTAACGTGAGCAGGGAGTCCACCTCCCCCTGGTGTCAAAGACTTGTGAAAATGGAGCCCGCAACACTTAGGTCAATCATAGTTCATCTCTGTTGGCTAAAAGGTCAGTTCAACAGAGATGAACTTGGAGTAGCTTTTCCCACATCACAAAGACACCAGACTCTTCCTGGAAAGGAACATAACTCTGATGGGTGGACAGCTGTTATATTACAAGGGCTGATTGGGATGAAGAAGCACCCTGACCAAGCAAATAATAACAATAACAATAATAACAATAATAACAATAACAATAATAACAATAACAATAACAATAACAATAATAATAATAATAATAATAATAATAATAATAATAATAATTTTTAAATTTATATTGCCCTCCCCAGCCAGAACCAGGCTCAGGGCAGCTAACATCAAAATATATGATACATTAAAACATTACACTTACAGTTTTGGCAACTCGGTGTTGTTGTTTAGTTGTGTCCGACTCTTCGTGACCCCCTGGACCAGAGCAGGCCAGGCACTCCTGTCTTCCACTGCCTCCTGCAGCTTGGTCAAACTCATGCTGGTAGCTTCGAGAACACTGTCCAGCCATCTCGTCCTCTGTCGCCCCCTTCTCCTTGTGCCTTCCATCTTTCCCAACATCAGGGTCTTTTCCAGAGAGTCTTCTCTTCTCATGAGGTGAGCAAAGTATTGGAGCCTCAATTTCAGGATCTGTCCTTCCAGTGAGCGCTCAGGGCTGATTTCCTTCAGAATGAATAGGTTTGATCTTCTTGCAGTCCATGGGACTCTCAAGAGTCTCCTCCAGCACCATAATTCAAAAGCATCAATTCTTGGGTGATCAGCCTTCTTTATGGTCCAGCTCTCACTTCCATACATCACTACTATGGACCTTTTTCAGCAACTCAGTATACTCCAATTAAATAAAACCAAACAAATCTAGTCAAACACCAAGTACCTATCTGACTAATTAACAATTATTGCATTGTTAATGGGAGGGACGGTTGGGTTTTTTTGGGGGGTGCAGCAAAAGTGTGAAAACCTTTAGGTTTCCCTCTTACTGGCAAGGAGCAGAAACTTCCTTCCATGTTCCTTGCTGAAATACGCTTGTTTGTCATGGAGAAGGGGTGACATTTGATGCCAGTGGGTCATGGCTGCCCCACTGATTTTGCCAGCTTCTATATGCCAGAGATTATTCTCACCCCTATTGTTGTTTAGTCGTTTAGTCGTTTCCGACTCTTCGTGACCCCATGGACCAGAGCACGCCAGGCACTTCTGTCTTCCACTGCCTCCCGCAGTTTGGTCAAACACATGCTGGTAGCTTCGAGAACACTGTCCAACCATCTCATCCTCTGTCGTCCCCTCCTCCTTTTGCCCTCCACCTTTCCCAACATCAGGGTCTTTTCCAGGAAGTCTTCTCTTCTCATGAGTGGGCCAAAGTATTGGAGCCTCAGCTTCAGGATCTGTCCTTCCAGTGAGCACTCAGGGCTGATTTCCTTCAGAATGGAGAGGTTTGATCTTCTTGCAGTCCATGGGACTCTCATTCTTCGGCAATCAGCCTTCTTTATGGTCCAGCTCTCATTTCCATACATCACTACTGGGAAAACCATAGCTTTAACTATACGGGCCTTTGATGGCAAGGTGATGTCCCTGCTTTTTAAGATGCTGTCTAGGTTTGTCATTGCTTTTCTCCCAAGAAGCAGGTGTCTTTTAATTTCGTTGCTGCTGTCACCATCTGCAGTGATCACGGAGGCCAAGAAAGTAAAATCTCTCACTGCCTCCATTTCTTCCCCTTCTTTTTGCCAGGAGGTGATGGGACCAGTGGCCACCACATAAGGTAGCGTCTTCAACCTTTTGCCCTCCCTTCTTGTTTCTGCTCTAACACAGCCAAAGCCTCCCACCAACTTTACAATTCTGATTCTATGCAGGTCACATTTAATTCCAGGCCTAATTCCACTCTGCCGCCTAGCGTCTCATAAATATAATAATAATAATTTATTATTTATAACCCGCCCATCTGGCTGGGTTTCCCCAGCCACTCTGGGCGGCTTCCAGCTCAATATTAAAAACAATACAGCATCAGGCATTAAAAACCTCCCTAAACAGGGCCACCTTCATTTGTCCTTAAAAAGTAAAATAGTTGTTTATTGCCTTGACATCTGCTGGGAGGGCGTTCCACAGGGCAGGTGCCACTATCAAGTAGGCCCTCTGCCTGGTTCCCTGTAGCTTTGCTTCCCGCAGGGAGGGAACCGCCAGAAGGCCCTCAGCGCTGGACCTCAGTGTCCAGGCAGAACGATGGGGGTGGAGACGCTCCTTCAGGTACACAGGACCAAGGCATAGCTGTCAACTTTCAGATTTGAAAATAAGGGTCAGCAGCCTTAAAAATAAGGGATCAGCAGCCTCACCTGTCCCGGGGACAGTCTACGGGATATGTAACAATCTGGCATAGCAGCAGGAAGCAGCGGGAAATGGCACTGGAATAAGGGAATTTCCTGCAAAAAAAGGGAAGGTTGACAGCTATGGACCGAGGCCGTTTAGGGCTTTAAAGGTCAGCACCAACAATTGTGCTCGGAAACGTACTGGGAGCCAGTGAAGATCTTTCAGGACCTGCATAAACAACTATGCAGAAGGTTGCATCGGAAAGCTGGGCAACAGTGCACAATTTATGATCCAGCATAAGCAAGGATTATACAGCGGGTTGGCTGAAGTTTGCGAAGGATCTGTCTCTATGAGCTCCGGCTGTCTTTTAGTTGAGTTCACATTTGCTGATTTCCATCCATCTAATCCACGCAAGGCATCTAGCAGCTGGGCTGATTCGCACCGAGTGGGTCTTGCCAAACCGACAAGCTGGAGTTGGAGAACCGCATGGCTTTGAACATGCCCAGTGGCACAGTTGGCCAGTCATGGGGGCAGCAAACTGGATGCCTGGCCTGTTTTGAAGGCAAAAGGGCTTCCAATTTCTAAAGCCCTGTTTTGACAGAGCTGCATCTTTAGCAAATACCTCCAGCAAATGTGAGCTCAAATGTGCAGAAAGGCTTTGGGGCTATGTGGAACGGCAGCGAGCGTGAAAAGCCAGGACTCGTTGCTTCGTTACTTAAAGCTGCCATTTTTATCAAAGTTTGTGAAATGATTTATGGGGAAAGTGGATACGGAAACTCGAAACTCGTGGCCCTACCA